AGAGAGAGAGAGAGAGAGAGAGAGAGAGAGAGAGAGAGAGAGAGAGAGAAAGAGAGAGAACTATTTTAAGATCAAAAACAGCGTTACTCACTTCAGCTCGCGCCGATCGCCTTTGAAGTCTTCCGGCACCAGATTGTGCGTGACCTTGTTGATCTTCCTGGGCAAGAGTTTATTTACGTTGAACTTGAACTCCATCTCGGTGTGACAGGGTCGCTATTACCGCTCGGGACGTCCGCCTCCTCGTCCACTCGTTCTCGTTCTCGTCTGCTGCAGTCCTCTTCTCGTCGTCCTCGTCGTCGCCACGCGTCCTAGCGTATTTGGCGCGCGAACACAGCCTACGTCCCGGTGGATGGCCGCGAGACCGTTTTTCCGACGATGCCTACCCGGAGCGACGGCTCGCCTTGAATATGGCCGTTGTTCGCGCACCCTCTCGCGACAACTTCACTCCGCGTTGTTGATTGTCACGTGAACATCGATCGTATCGCTCCTTCTCTCTCCCTCTTTCTCTCTCCCTCTCTTTCTCTCGCTTGCTATCCCGCGCGAGAGAAGCTCCTGTGAGCACAGAATCTCGTGTGTTATTGCAGTCTTGCGAAATGACACCTTCGCGCGCGAGCGGCACTTCGATTGTCACGTGGGTACGCCGGACACGATCGTCAGTCCGTCTGTCCTCTTCTCCCTCGTCTACTCTCCCCTGATCGCTCCGAACTCACGCACCGAATCTACGCTCCGAGCTACGCCACGTCCTACTACCGGCCCCGAAGAAGATTACTTCCCGGCGATGTCTGCTGCCGATGATCGATCACACTCTCGTCACCAGCATCGCTCGCGACGCGAACAACACGTCGCGAATGCGTTCCGCCGAATCGATAGCACGCGTGCGCGCGCGAGACTACCAACTCGCTTCACGGCTCGCGCTCAGCGACTGATAGCCGTGACGTTTCGCTCGCGAAACACGGGGATGCCACCGTTCCCTCTCCTCTCCTCTCCTATCGTAGCCTAGCCTTTCCTCTCTTCTCTCGTCTCCTCTCGTCGTACCGCCTTCGCGGGAGAGCGACTCGCGGCGAGCTGTCGTTCCTCTCGAACGCGCTCTCGAAATGTCCGCGTGCTTCGATTCTCGCGCTGTCGCGAGATCCGTCGCGGCGGCGCCGTTGATGGACGAACGAAGGAATCGGTGAAAGCCGAGGGAGATTACCCTGGTTGAGAACGAGCACATTCGCGAGAGCGTAGCGAAAACGCGGAACGCGACGATGATGACGCCGCGATTTAACACTCGCGCGCCGGATCTCGTTGAACTGGCGAAACTGCGAGCCGTGCCGGTAGAGGTTTACCGCCGAGGGGTACTCACATTCAATTGTCTCCTTGAAAGCCGCGGCGCGCGCGCACCGTGAACATGGCGGTTGACTGCAGTGACGTACCACCTGAGAGCGAAGCTCGAGCGA